CTCGATGCGTAAACGCTTTTCCCGCCGGCGGGAAAAGCGTTTACGCATCGAGACGCCAACTTTTCCTCATTCTTAAGCCCCCAAATTGATAAATATGTTAAATAATAAAGTTATTAATAATTTATTGATAAAAGTAGATTTCTAAAAATGCGTTCTTTCAATATAATTCATTTAGTCAAAAATTTTCATCCTCGTTTACTCCCACATATCCTCGTCTTCCCTCGTTTTCCCGCGTCGCATGTGCCGGCAGGGCTGTGTCTCCAATATTGAAATCTTATTGGTACTTTTAAAGAAAGCTTACTTTCTAGCTACTAGGGAAAAAAATACAACAGGTGGCATACGGAAACGTAATTCTTGCCGATAAATGTTATCTGAGTTTCATTTGAACTTATCCGTTACAAGTGACAAACACTTGGCTAACAAAGAACCATGTGTGATTAATTGCACATTAATATTTGATTTACCCCTACCCTTCAAAATGTATTGGCGAACATTGGCGTCATCTGGCCAAATATTAACCACTGTTAGCTTTGGGTTAAAAAAACCACGGACAAATCCCAAAGGGTTAAAGACGGCTACTGACTTCCACAATATCTTTTAAACTTTTCATAAATAAATGTGAATGAATTGGTGTTTTTCCTAGCTACTGTTGTTTATTGAAAAATGACAAAGGGCTGAGGTTGCAAACGTTACGCTTTCAGCTCTAAGTTAATTAAACTAAAACAAGGGTTATACCCGATGCTTAACCTTCACCCACCCGTCGAAATTGACTTACATTGGGCAAATGCGCTTTCAAAATACTTCAGGATATTCAAGTGGGCCGTCCTTAACAATGAAGTCTTCTTTAAGGTCGAGCCGCGACGATGAGCCTCCAAAAGGCTAAACTAACTTTCCGCTTATCATTATAACATGCTATCCCCCATCTACCATAAAATATTGTGGCTTGAGCAATCAGGAGAGACTAGATATTACATTTTTTCACCAATTATCCTTCTACCTCCAAACTGTATTCACACATTATCTACTGAGTAACGATGCCCTTATAACATTTAAATGTAGTGCCTTTTTGTTTGAAATTCTTAGCACTAAACGATTTTGTATCGGGCGCGTTTGCTTACTTTACTCGGGCATATTTTGCAGCTTGCCGTCAGTTTCTTACTTCTCATTGGTGATGCCCTTCTTCTAAACTTATGCCACTTCAGGAGCCTTCTGTGAAGATTTGGTGAGCGGCTACCGATGTATTTGCCCGGCCGGATACACTGGAGTGTGGTGCGAAAAGAATGTAACCAGATGTGACGGGAACAGTTGTCCAAAGGGCAGCCAGTGTGTAAACACAGCCACCGGTTTTCAGTGTTCCCCATCAACATCACTCTATCCAGCAGTCACTGAGGCAACCATCAGTACACCATCACCACAGCGTCCTCAAGAGGAAGAGAAAGAGGATCAGTTCACTTTTCCCACCGGTCCAGTTGGCTCAATCGACTTCACAAAAAAGAACAATGTCGTCATGGTGCACTTACAGCCCTCCTTCCTTAGCCTCACTCTTGGTGTGCCCATCGCCATTGTATTTTGTGGCCTCCTTCTGGCCATGTTGACCTGTGCAATCCTGGCGGTCTGTATATGGCGAAAGGGTTGTGCGCATACGAGACGAAAATGCAGACGTAATGACAGAGGTGCCTTCTCAAAGCCAAACCAATCCCTAGACGACGAACCTAATATATACACCTCAGAGACCTCGACCATCTGGTCAAACTACGAGCCGATCGCATCCCTGCGACCAGTCCCCGGCAAGCCTGTGGGTTTGCCTCGCTCTGTCTCAGCTTTCTATCCCGCCAGTGCGTCCTCGGGTACCAAGAGACTGGACTTGCTAAGCAACTCACCGTTTGGAATGTCTGGCAAGCAGGGATACAATGGGTCCGGAAAAGGGCATGGCGTTATCGACTGTGGGAAACTATCGCGCTCCAGTTCAAAGCACGACATAAACTCCGACAGGGCGACTTCAGTCTACCAGCGCTATGCAGAAAATCCGACGAGATCCTACTCGCTGTACTTTATGCCCTCTTTTCTGTACGGCTATCCGCTGCAAAGGCGGGATTCCAATTCCTCCAAAACCCCATCTCTCCCGCCAAGGCCTATGCCAGGCCGACCTGTCACCTACTCCGCCTGTTTACGACCAGTCCTCTTCCCAATCCATCAACAACCCCAGCTTAAGCAAAGGGAGGCCTCTCCGCCAATAAAAATATCTGAATCTTCGTATGCCACGATAACGGAGCCCCGTGCAGCACAGTAAGCCTGTTTTTGTTTACTGTTTCTTATGAGTAGTCTACTGATGATGCACAACAGGCTAGTCCTGCCCAGACATAAGGTGTGGCCTCACGTGTTATGCGGTTATGCAGTAAGATCACCCAGTATCTGGATAAGTATAATTAGTTACAGTGGCAACCTATGATTTACAATCGCCTCAACACTACCTATCTCAAATTCTTTTAAGAATCTTAAGTAAGATACAGGAATGGAAACCCCCATATTGCAGCTGGACATACGCTTACTTCCATGAAGGCTTCGTAATGGTATCGAAACCCTAACATTAACTCGAACATTCATCTTAATCCTAACCATAACTTAAACCAAGCCTTAATCCTAAGTCTAATCTTGTATTAGAAGGAGTGCGTATTTTCCTGTTCTACCCAATCGGATTCCAGGAAGGGTAGTGGATTCGCAAATCTAAGGGCATTTGGGGTTGTTAACTGCAACAGACAAAATCAGAAAATAATACTGACATACACAAAGAAGATTGGAGAGGGAAATTCTGGCTTATTTCCAATTATTGATTTAAAAAATGTCCAACTTTAAGTCAAAAAGACTCTGAGCTCGACGAGGCATAAATGTTCTTCTTCGATCTCAGAGATGTAAGATGTTCAGGGCTTATTTTTTGAGCCATTTAACACAAACACAAGGCCACCTTTTCAAGAATAAATGTTTGTTTTTGTAAACGGCTGGTATATTCCGAATAACCTAGTAATTTCTTGCATTAAGGCCATGAGCACTCTTGATCACTTCTATCCTTTTTCCAGAAATGGTGGCGAACTCTACGCATACTTAAGACCCGACCTTAATACTAAGAAGCCTCCAAGTGAAACGAAGATTCAGGCGGTTACCAACAACACCTACCAGCGATCCGGGACGACTGCCATTGCGGCGGGTCCTGGTACCGCTCTGTTGTGCTCTTCAGATTGCACCCCCATCACCCTACCTTTGACAGGCCAGACCTCCCCGCGCGCAGAGGGCAGTCAAAAGTCTCGGAAGATTGCATCTCGTTGCAAG